GAGGCACGGTCCCTGGACATATTTGCGCAAGTCGTGAGTAGGATCCTGCTTCCCATCAATGACCTGAACCCCGCCTTGCTTCGACAGTTGATATCTCAGCAGAGAGACATAGAAGTTGTCTCCCCCAACTCCGGCGGGCAGAGTTGGAACCCTCACACTGTGAGAATCCTGTAGCTGCTGTATGGCAAGAGTGGAAATCACCAGGAATCTCACCCCGGACTTGGGACCGGGCCGGCTACTGGCACAGAGGCGTATCCCGTCGATGCACGTGGGGCAGCTTCCTTGCTCGCACCCAGAAGCCTGTGTGGCCCTTTCCCCACCCTGCGTCGTCCGTAGCAGTCTGTGGGTCATAGTCTGCGTGATGGGCGCGCCTATGCTCACCAGACTGGGCAGAGACGAGTCGGCCACCCACAGAAGCATGAGAAGCTGCTTGAGCATCGCAAAATCCAATGCTCTTTATCAATCATGCAGAAAAGCGCGGGTCCATGGCATCGGCGCTACACCTCGAAAAAATCAGTCCCACTGCTGGGACGCATTTCAGCCGGAGTGCTTATTACTACTACTACTACTACTACTACTACTACGACCACCACCACCACCACCACCACCACCGCCAGCACGACGACGCGACGGACTGCTACCCTGCATACTATCTTCTATCTACTACCTGCTACCACGACTTCTGCTACTACTGCTGCTACCGCGACTGCGACTGCGACTGCGACTGCTGCTACCACCACAACAACAACAACGACTTATTACTGTCACAAGCAGAACTACTGCTGCTACTGCTACTACTGCTGCTGCAATCCACAACGACTTTCAAGAAGAAACAGCTAGAGGAGGCTGAGACCACGAGCACAGCTCCCGCGGCTGCTGGACACATCGAGGCGGACGTGCAGGCCCACTCTGCGGATGTCGTCAAGAGGTAATCAGAATCGATCACAGAAGATGGAATATCGATAAGCCTGACTGCAACTTTTTCTGATGACGTTGCTGCAATATTGAAGCTGCCAGAGCAGAAAACAAGACATCGTCGTCATGCTCGTGTTCACTTGCATCCCCATCTAAACGTTTCAGGATCCAAGCTTTGGTTCTTAACTGCAAATGTTTTTTTGCTTTAATTTAAGCGCTGAGGCAGAGATGGCCGAGGAAGAGGAGGAGTTCACGGAGGCTCACTCCGCGTTCCGCGAAGTTCGCATAAAGTCCTGTCGAGTCGAGGTTGACATTGGCTGCAGCTGGACATTGACAGGTGGCGGGCTGGCATTGGAGTTGTTGGTTCAGATGGCATATCAGCTTCCCCTAAACCAAGAAGCCGATCAAGAGGCTGACTCTGAGGGTTACTGTCACTGCAGATGTCCATGCGCAGGGAGTGCCCACGCAGCCCGAAAAGCAGAAGAGTTCTACCGACGGCCTCCCACTGTTCACCACATGTTTGCAGGTGCTCTCATCTTCGCCATGATAATTTTCTATTTCGTCAACTGGCCGGATGACGACATCAAGAGGTGCCCGCAAAGTGTGGACATAGAGACATGGAGCGTTTGTGCACAGCTGGACCTTGTTTGCTGTGCTCGAGTATTCATCTTGGTCCCTTTCAGTGACTCAGTGTGTCATGGCAATCTACCGAGTTCATGCCAGGGCAGGGCAGCTGCTTTCCGAAGAGCTCGAGCTTGAGGTACACGTGGTCTATCATAAACACCACGCTGTCGATCTTTGTGGCCGTCATGTCTTTTCAGGGCTGCGAGGCAGCTTGGCATACTCGGCATGTGCAACGTAAGCAAACTCGCTTCCGCTTCCAAGGAGAAACAGAAGTTCCAAGACGTATTTCATGATACTCGAACCCTGCAGATTCTACGATGCTCCCTGCTTGGTCAGGAAGTCCTGATGGAGTTCGTGATCCACCCCATCCTGGGAGCCTTCCCGACTGGCAGCGCAGCGATAGCCAGAGTTCTCTGCGGACTTTCAGCCGCAGCTTCCAGCTAGCGTGTTCCTACGAAAGTCGCAGATGACACCCACCTGGCGTGCACGATTCTACAAGGCGGCTCGTAGCGCTCCCACACGAACTATGCAGTTTTCCGTAGCCCAAACAGACGTTGGCATTGCACGCAGGGAGCCGTCCACTTGTCAGTGCCGAGGGTTTGGTGTCTTTCTCGGCTGGCTCGCCGTCGCGCATTTAGCAGCCTGGCATTCCTTTAGGCGATGCTGCAGAGGACTGCCCACGCATGGTGGCCTGACTTTTTGGACATTGCTGGGTCACTTCTGCATCCCGGTCCATGCTAGGCTACGCCCAAGATGCTCTTGAAGCGAGTTACTCGGCACCCTGCAGCCCACTCCAAAGAGTCAAGGTTATTGCCTGGTTTGCTGGGCTTGTCTGCAACAGCGAGGCACGAGTGTAAGTCGGGCCGAGGATGTGTCTGAATGCTTTTTTTGGGACTGGTGGCTTCATTATCGGTCTTCCGAGTGTGGCATGCGAGAGTCGCGTTTTGCCACAGATATGCACATGATTCTCCATGCCCTGTTTCGCGTAAACTGGACCATGCCGATCAGTTCGGGTCGTGCCGTTATAGAGTAATCACACAAGTGTGGCCTGAATGAGTACGCACAGTGACTACAGCGAGGTCGTTCAGGGGAAAAGCCAAAGATCTGTTTGCTACCAGTAGGTTCTGAATGGCTCGACGATCACCATTTGGGGTCCGGCGGAAGATAATGCGGTAACAACCGAATGAGGTGTCCCACTGCTCAGCTTGCTTCGTGACGGCCTGGACTACCAACACCGCTATGCAATACTGAATACTGTTTAGCATGAAGTTTTCTGCTGTGGAGGTTCGAGAAAGATCCCCCCAGCCACATCAAACATGCATTTCAATGGGCCGCCCGCCATGCTGCCAGGATGCTTCTAAGCTGATGGAGAGGAAATGGGTTGTGGCAGACGCCATGCGCGGCGACCATGGTGAGGCGGACTTTGATGCTTCTTTGACAGATTCACATGATGAATGAAGCAAATGTGGCCGACGGCACGTTACCTGCGATGCGGAAGAATGTGGAGAGCAATTGGAACATGGGCAATTTTCTAAGAAATTTCGTGTGACATGATTCCGCTGCAGGAAGTGCCGGTGGCGAATGTAGTTCAAGGCAGCGGGCATCCAACGCAATGTTGTGCATCCAGATTCCAGATCCTGCCAGACCGTCCGTGGCAGCATGACATGGCAATGTCGTAAAGTCGCGTGAACCCAAGCCCGGGGCACGAACCTCACGCATCCACTGTGGCCGCCGGTTCCCCCCCCCCTCCTTCAGGTGTCCATATGACAATCAAGCAGAGTCTTTTCAGACTCCGGGGGGACAAGCCTTCATTCAGGATCCTCGGGCCCACTCGAAATTCACTCGTGGGTTTCGGTGGATGTTTACACTCCGAATGCTCAGCCAGATTTCAGATGACAGTAGTGAACTTTGGACCTCCGCAGGATAAGGCTCCTGAGGTATGCAAAATTGACTTCTTGGGGCGTCGCCGGAAGACAAGATTCGAACGCTCCCAAATTCAAGTCCTATGTCGGACGTCGGCGATACCCGAGGTTCAGCATCCGAAGCGTAATCATTGGATATTGGATCCCCGGTGAAGGCGTTGAATTTGTGATTACAGGCATCCGAGATGCTAGCAATAAGTTAAGAGCTCTTGTCTACGAAGTTTATCAAGACTACACTTCGCTGATCCGCCCAGTCTCCAAAGGTGAATTTTCCCGCGAAACCCTGGGAAGGATTGAACCACAATGAGCCTGCAATGAAGCATCGTGAGCAATCATTCGTTAGAATTGTTGACCGGCCTGTATATCTACTAGGTCAAATCTCTCTTGAGAAAGTTATACGAATGTTATACGAGTAAGACAGTGCCTGACTGGCTGCCCTTTGCAGCACACTACTTCAAGACGCAAATAGCTTGCACTGTTTGCTCTCATTGAATACTTTGATGTCGGCGGCGATGCAGAAATATGTATAAACACGAACATCTTCGATAAGTTATGAATTTTCCCGGTTCAAGGTATATACAGTCACATCCATAGGTACACAGGGGCGATGGCGACGGCGACGATGAGCAGTAGCCAAATGACGACGAAGTCCGTAGCATGTGTACTGCATGATCAAAGTCGATCGCCCTTATCATGTTTAGGATATGTTTAGGTTTTCGCTTCAGTATGGAGAAGAGAAAGGATCCCTGCAACGGTAATTTAATGAACAAGGTTGTAGCAGTGTGGCCTCGATTTGCAAGATGGGCCGTAGATAGAGACCTTCACATATTAGACTTACACACTCACCCATACCATGTCTTATAGACATTTATGTGTATACATGTACATACATGCATATATCATATATATATATATATGTAGATAGATATGTGATTCGGTTGCGCTTTGAAAGATGTAATTGTTTATGCTGTGTACACATAGACTCGCTTTCTCGTCTTGTCTCCAACCTCTACATGTGCAACAATTCTGAATGCTTCAAGCATAGATTTGGATTCAATGTGGGCAGATATGAGCTACATCGTATCCAGGCACTTCGATGTTGTTGCAAGAGGCATTGCTCAACTTCGGCTGGATGACAAGTTGAACCCTAAACTTTCAGAATGGCCATGGCGGGTTGCGACAAGCAGGCCTTGTCCTTGTATCTTTGTAGCTCTGACCTGAAGACTTGTACAGAGCAAGTGTCTCGGTGCGCACGTTTTAGACTATCGGCCTTTAGCGGGAAGTTGGATGCAGCAAGAAACTGTGCAGGACATCACTCGAAAGGCATTGCGAGTGTCAAGGGCGTCGAGGTCTTCGTCAGCAGCCGCGCAGTGTTGCATGAGGGCTACGAGAGGCCATATGCATTCCGGCATCGCCTGGAAATAGACCGCCGGAACATTTGGGTGTCAAAGTCAGGCAGTTGAGGCGGTTCAGGATAGGCCACTTCAGTGTCTTTCGGTTTCTAGCGAGTCTATTATTTTCGATCTCCGCGGGTCGCCTGCGCCAATCTCGGCTTCGTTGCTTCCTGCGGAGGCGGACAAAGTGTTGGGCTATGCTTTTTGCACACATGGCCGGCTTCGCAATGATCAGTGCCGGCGGCCGGGCTCCTAGAAAGTGGATCTATGCCCCGGCCCAGCTTTGATCTCCGACATGGACCCGTTTCATTTGTAGGAGCAACAGGCTTCAGGTTGGCTCTGAATTGACGAGCATACCGCATACCGTGGAATCGGTCCGAAAAGATGACACGCACTGGGCATGTAGGCTGCATTCCAACCCTTGTAGCTTGAGGCGACCTGCAGCACTGGGATCCCTTCATGAGCAGCCCTGCGTATAGCTGGCTGGCTGTGGTGACACATCTGCAAAGGAACGCTTTCAAACTTCGGTAAAATCGCATCCGCACCAGTTTTCAGTCCTCCTCGAGGATGCTTTCCGGCTACCCTGTGGAAATGTTCTGTTCGACGACGGGCCTCTTATTCCACAATCTGGTTGACAGCCAAGGTTATTTGTGCCCTGTTCCTGCTGCTCATTTTCTCATTCACTGCACGCTGTCTATACCAAGAAGGTGGGGAGCCGCGCTCCAAGTTTGCGAGGCCTCCGAGTATAATTTCTGTTTCCGGCACCCCGCTGTCGGCATGCCTCCTTGAGGTTTGCAGAAGCCCGGAAACTCTACAAGGAGGAGGGCCACTCGGTAGCGTTTGGGTTGCGACGAGAAGGAGCCCTTTGCCATTCGGCTACCCTGTCAACTGAAGATTCCAGGTGGTGGCCAAACATGCCAACTGATTGAAAAAGCAAGGGCTTCTACGGTCTTCCAGTGAGCAGAACTTGACTGCCCTACTGGAGGAAAGGATGCCGAGGACGACATCTTTTGCCTAGCGGTGTCCTTCCTTTGCGTGCAGTCCCTGCGCTTCACGTTTTCAGGCACGAAAGCAGGGAACAACGGTCCGACCTTCCTCAGAGTCATCCGGAGCCCCAAAATTGGCTACGTAAAACGGTGCGATGCGGTGCGGCAGTTTTGAACATTCGGGATGGGATTGGGGTGATCACTAGGCAAGATTCCGTCATCGAGGCCATTGACAAGTGGCTGTTGCACGTTGCTTACCATGAATTTCCAACAAAGCTTAGGAGCCTCGAAGCAGGCAGCCTCCCGTCGAAACTGGGCTTTTACCACAGCGTGGAGACTGAAGCAAGACAAGCAACTGCTTTGTACGTCTCCGCCGTTGCCATGGTCGTAGCTTCTCGTCCGCATCTGGGTAACCTTGAAGTGTAGAAACTTCGCAGTTTCGGGAAAGCTGGTAAGCAACTCCCTGCACTTTCGACGTTGCAGCCCATCAACACATAGTCGTGTCCGAAACTTCCCAAAGGTCAGCCGTCATGCCTGTGAAGTATAGCTCGAACCCGAGCATCTTCGAGTCCCTCAGGTGATGGTCGTCACTGCATTGTTCTTGCGAGGAGAGTGCGCGACTTGTAAGCAAAGGGGCCGACCGCTTGGGTTCCGTCAGCAGCTAGGTTTCCGGACCGTCAGCCGTCGCAGCAGCGATCCTAACCACAGAAGGCACTCCGGAAGGTCACTCAGGAACCACTGAACTTCAGTCTGGGAACTCCCCAGCACTGGCACCACACGAAACATTCATCATACTCAACCATAGCGTCTTGTGATCGCGGACGTATTTTGTGCTGGCAGGGCTGCGACTGAACGAATCCCTTTTGACACCCAGGTGAATGCCCGACTGAAAAGTCTCATCGTTGGCACTGCCTCTATGGGTTTTGCTTGGTGTGTTTCTTGCTTGCAATCGAGATGAAAAGGTTGAAAACGGCGCATGACATGCGGCCTGCATACCCTCCAGGGCCCAAGAGTTCTGAAGATTAATCGCTCATGCAAGTTGGCCTCTGGCGGGCTGCCGGGCCTGCATAATTCTGGGTGCACAGCATTCGTTGCAGGAGGGCGTTGCCTGGTCTGACCAATGACCCTTTGAGGTTCTTTTCGGTACCCGGGCATTCTTCGACTCTTGGAGCTTCCTCGAGGTGGGCCTTTCTTCACGCAGATAGATTTGAACATCGACGGTTTGACGGCTTTGAGCGTTGCTCGCCGCAAGGAGAAGAAGATAACACCAGCAACTTGACTCAATGGTTCGAGCATCAGAACACAATTTTAAATCGTCCGCCCGGATGAAGAGGGAATTCGGACTCCGATTTCATCAGCAACAACCCAGATCCCGCTGACTCCCCTTGGCGTTTTGATGCTTGCTGTCGAGCACCCTGCGAAGACGAGGCCACGATTGAGGGACGAGTTCTGTTGGCGATGGCAGCGTCGTTGTTCAGCTGTGCCTGGGAGATTTAATGGTTCATGGCCCATGCCAATGCAGGCGCAGGTGGCTGCTGGTGCTTGCATACAAGCAGTTGAAGAATCTTGTAGACTCTAAACGGATGACTAGACAGGAAGGGTCAGAACGAATCGTTCAAGCTGGTGAGTTAACCCTTTTCAAGCGGCGTGGAAGTCCTTGCGGTGGCGAGTAGTGAAAAGGTCATTCGCAGATGCTCAGCGGCACGGTAGAGCATATCTGCACTCTGACTTCCCATATCGGCGAAGGTTCGATGCTCGGCTCTCAGTAGCTCCGAGAGACCTGAGGCGCAGTGATCGTTGTACTGGACAAAATCGAGGATGGCTTGCAGGCTCGGGATTCCCGTCCCGGCTCGACAGGTGCATTAGTTGCAGTCCTCTTTCCTTTGTCGGAGAGTTGTTCTAAACCAACCCCTGCTTCGCGCAAGAGCGCATAAGGGCGAAGCGCAAGGCGATTTTCGATTTACGGACTGCAACCATAATAAAGAACAACCCCTTATTGTAGCGAAGATTGCCAATGTTTGTCATGAAGTCACACTCCTGTCTCGGAGGACGGAGGCCCAAAGTTCGTGGATGCAGCGGAACTCCTTTCCGCACCCTGTAAGGATCGTCCTCAAATGCCCTCACAGCACCGGTCCAAGCTCGGCCACCGTACTTCGTGCACACTTGAAGTCTGGTGATGCCCACCAAAGTTATGCTGCAAGACAGGCTTGGCTTTTTCATGCCTACACTCCTCTCAGTGCAAGGCCAGCTCCGCCAAAAAACATGACATCTTGTCGCAGGACTCGGACGGAGAGCAGCTCCACAAGTTGCTGAAGAACATCATCACTGGGCTGAGCATTTTAATCGGCTTCACCTGGGAGCACACCTTCGACGGCTGTGTGGAGGCCCGCTGCCCTAAGCGATGTGCAGCTGTGCCACGGGAGACGCAGGCAATGTCTTCCCTGTGGTCGGACAAGCTGCTGGGCAAGCTCACCATGACACTCACGATTGTGGTCATTGTGGTTCCTGCATGGAGAAGATTCATCCTGGCCAAAGTTGCAGCTTGGCGCTGAAGCATCTCGGGTGTTTCAGGCATCTGCATGAGTGGTGCTGCAGGTCGACCTGCAGAAAATGCAGCACGAAAAAAAGGGAGCTCAGGCCAAGATCCAGGATCTGCGTGCGTCGTCAGGCATTTTGAGTTCTTCAGCAGGGCACAATGCAGGCTTTGTGGGTACAAGCAAGTACTAGTACGGAGAACCGCCAACCGCCAAGTTCACCGAAGTCTGAATGTCCATGGATCGTTTTGGCATTGTGGAGGACGGCTATGCGCAGCCGATGAGCGAGGGCTCCTCCAGCGAGGAGGAGTCAACGGCGCGCCTGATGTGCTGAGATTCTGCTAGGGTGCAGCGGGACTCCCGGACCCCCGTGGTGCCACTGCGCAACGTCAGAATTTTAACCCACACGGCAGGCAAATCACTGCTCGTTTTCTTATCTGCCGAAGAGACTGGTCTGAACTCGGTTTGTCCGAGTTGGCTTATTCGTCTCCACGCTTATTCCGTCCACAGAGGGGCTTGCGCGACAACATAGGTTTCCCAGAGCAAGCTCGACGCTGCTCCGGCGTCTCGGGCACAGGTCTTGTGCCAGAACACTCTGCACCCTCAGCATGCTATGTCGAAAGCTCCAGAAACGCCGCCTACTGCTGCAGCATGTACTGTGGCGACGAGCCCGGTCGTCCGAAAGAAGCAGCCAGTTAACGCAAGTGACTGAAAGAAGCAGCTGCCTGTCAGAGCCTTAGTTGCAGCTCTTCCGCACCTTACCTTGCATCTGCCAATGTCAGTGCTCTGGAACCTGATCCTGTACGGCAATATGCCCTCTGCAAACGCACACAGAGACACATGCAGACACGTAAACACGAGATAATTGGACGATGCGACACTGTGAGCGAAATTCGGGTGAAGATGGTGATGAACAGCAAACATGAGATGAACGCTTGTTGGCACCAGCACCAGGAATGGCATACGGGAAACAGAGGAGTGGTGGTAGCGTCCTGCTGTGGCGTGCCAGACGCAGGCAATATTGGCACACTAAATGGAATGAGTGATGACTATGCCCGTCCTGGCCACGCAAGGGCCCAGGGCTGATACATGCTGGTACGTTTGCCTGGAGTGTGGCGGGGAGTTTCATTGGACAGAGTCCTCTGCACCCCCCCCTGCATAGCACGGCAGAACGATGACGGTGAAATGTCAAGTGTGTGGGGGCGAACACCTTCCCCCCTTCAATTAGCACGATCTACAGACAGACAGACAGACACACACACACACAGAGACAGACACACACTCCTTCTCTCTCTTTCTCTCTCTCCACTTGACAACATCCAGCCGCCCGGTGAGGCTTGCCGTCGCAAACTGCAGCAGCTACGCGAGGAATGCCGAAGGGCAGAAGCGCCCATGCGGCAGAAGCTGAGGCGCAGAATGTTTGTCCCTTGCTCATATAGCCAGTTCGGCCCGCAAGATCTTGCAAAATTAGACAGCTTCGCAAGCATCTTCAAGATTAGACGTCCATAGCACCGCTGGTTTGAAAAATTGATGGCAGGCAGCTCTACACCCAAACTGGTCGTGCCTGGCCTTCAAGTTTGGAACGATGGTTGTGTTCCTGCAGCTGCTGTGCAACTGCTTCACTACCTACGTACTGCATACTGCCCCTACTACGACCATTGCCCCTACTCTGACTCGTATAATATGATAGCTGTAGTAGTGCGATTTCTGACTATTACTCCCGTTACTCCCGTTCGTACTTTTGCTGTACGTTGACTATTAGAACTACAGATGCCGTTCCCATTACAGTCCTAGTACCGTTTCTATTTCTACCACTCTGTTACTACTTTCTTTCTATTACAACTACATTGTGCCGGGAAGCTGGAACAACCAACGTTTGCCGCTCATCTTGCAGTCTTGGTCGTCTAGGTCATCTTGCCCCACCTAGGGGGGGGTGCAGGTGCTCATCTTGCCCTACTTGCCCGACTAGTTTACCACTTGCACCCGCCCATATGGGGCAAGATTGCAAGATGACCGGTCGCCTTGCACTATTTGGTGGTTCCAGGTTCCCGGCTCACTGTACTGGTTCTCTTGCTACGACTAGTACTCATAGCCTTTAGTACCATTACTACGACTATCAGACTATCATGATCATCGCTCTTGCTCTTGCTCTTGCTGCTGCCACTACTGCTGCGGCGGCTGCTGCTGCTGCTGCTGCTACTACTACTACTACTACTACTACTGCTACTGCTACTGCTACTGCTACTGCTACTGCTACTGCTACTACTTCTACTTCTACTTCTATTACTATTACTACTACTACTACTACTACTACCACCACTACTACCACCACTACTACCACTACTACCACGACTACCACTACCACTACCACGACTTGTTTGTTGCTACATGTGCCACTTAGTGCTCAGACTCACTGTCACGTTGCCATCATCTTGTGTGTAAGCCTTGTCATTTGGTTGTAATGGCCGGCAGTACTGTTGTCAAGGTGATATGCAGGAGCTGAACGACGTCTTTGCATGTGTTGAGGAGGCTTTGACTGCTGACCAGAGGAAGAAGCTCCTGGAGAAGGAATCGGAGCACTTGGAGTTTCGGGCTTGCGGAGTTGAATTCAGGGTTCAGGGTGTTTGCTTTAACGAGTGCAGCAGAGGTCTCTTATCGTCAATTTTGGATCCTGCGTGCGGCACAGGTTTGCGCAGGTTTGAGCGTGAGCGATTCTCTTTCGACCTCGCTGCATTGCAAAGTCCAATACCAGTCTACTGTACCTGTCAAATCGCCCGAAGTGACTACAGGGCCACGTCATTCGGATTCATTCGGCCTCTCGGGCGTTATCGGTATAGGGTATTGGAGTTTGGGGTAAGACTGGACCCTGATGTGGGCTTCTGCTCTGGTGCAGATTTTTTTCGTGACGGCTATACTATATGCTAAGTTTACGAGCGCCAACCCCTTAAGAATAGCTGGACCCATCTCAGTCGGCAGAATGCGGATGAGTGCAAATAACACGTGCTTGGCAAACGAAAGCGCTTTGGCAGATGCCTCACGGATAGTTGCATTTTCGGGACAGGGGGTCCATCAGAAAATTTACACAGAGTGCCTCAACGTATTGCACAAGAACGCGAAGTGGAAATGCACCCGAACTCCATCTGGTCAAGCTGGTTCCGGAAGACGCACCTGCTAGCTCCGTGGAGCAGTTGTTGTGGTCTTGTTTCCGCATGTTGAAGCCTGTTTTTTTCGGAGTTGGCATGTTGAAGGGATCTTCGGTCATAAAAGATGTCTAAGTGTTTCCCGATTTATACCATCGGCCTCGCTGCGCCCTTTTGCGTGCCTGATTTAGAAGAACGAGAGGTCTTCCGGGAGGGTTTTCGAGTTGCAAGCTGCCGCAGAGGAGCTGAGGCGCATGCAGGACTACGCAGAATCGGTTGATGAGCCCCGGCTTATTTGACAGCTTAATAAGCCAGGCTGTCTGGAGGCCTACCGATCCGACAAGTAGAGGCTACAAGGCACCTGGACTGCTCAGTTACTATGAGGTCATCCTCGGCCAGCGTGAGGAACTCCGGGCATTGGTGGTCGCTGGTGAGTGCTTCGAACGCCAAGCGCAGGCAGGCACAGGACATCCTGCAAGTTCAGAGCGCTTAATTATTCCATTCCGTCGTCATGAGAAAAAGAAAACATATTTGTCCGTCCCTGGCTCAGGACGTTGGGTTGGGAATTCAAAGCACTTCCTCGAAGAGGAGAGACTGAGCTTGCACTTGGCGATTGGACTTGGTAATTCGGGTATCGTAGCAGCTGGTCTCCCCAATTGAATAGCGTTGCAGAACTTGGTGCTTGCTGTTGACCATATACAGATTGCTCAGGAAATTCCGACGGCGCAGCCAGACAGCACTTTCAGAAAATTTCGCCTTCTCAAACAAAACTGTTATGGTGGCTCAGGTTTCGTGCGTCAATATCCCGAGCTCCGGGACAAGCTGATAGACTCCATCAGTGATTGGGAGACAGCCTTTGGGCATTAAATTAAACGACGGTTTTCATACTGAAGTCCATGTGTTTGTTGGCTATGCCAGAGCTGGGAAGGAAGACTCGTCACGGCGTCAGAGCTCAAGCCCAGCTTCCAAGGCTGAGGGAAAGACCTTCCTGCACAATGGCATTGCCCTGGGGGATCTTTGGCAGCAGAATTGAGTAACAGTCATACGGTTGATGCAGCGAAAAGGCTCGTGGCCTACCAACCGAGCAAGCCATTGCTGGCAGTCACGGCTGCGAGCCAGTAACTTTCAGAAAAGCATGAGCGGAGTGGGGTGCAATAACGCAGCGATTCAGGCGCAAAGCCGTGACAGTGATGCGCACTGGTAATGCCGCTCAACGCACACCACGACGGGTTCGTGACTCTCAGAAATATGGCGCAGCAGCCACGAACTTGTAAGACCTTGCAGACCATTGTCGAAACACTGCAACCATGAAAACGGCGAGAATGCAGCAAAGTGACTGACCACGCGCCCGACTGTATGGCCGATGTTGAGCAGTCTGGCAGCCGAGCATCTGAGAGGCTGCATTGTCTTTGCATGTTTTGCGTTTGTGCCATGCTGGCTGGACCGTACGAGCAGAGCTGTACTGGCACGTTCCCCAGGCCCGTCTACGGGAAGCTCGGGACCATGGCGTGGCACTTGCTAGCGCACAGGCAGGGATGGAGAGTGCATTAGGCGTTAGTGCCAGTGGGTTGCCATTTCAGAAAGTGGAACTCGAGATTCCTGGATAATGCTGGGCAATACTGCGAGATACGGAAGCCAGTCGCCCGAGAGATACTCACAGAGGTTGTCTAAGCTTACTTTGGCCAATGCCAGCTGCTGCAGGGTGACCTGAGCATCATGTCGGTTCTGCTGCAGCTGGGCTGCCTCCAATGTTGGTTAGATTCGGCATTTGTTGAGCTCCGTGCTCTCAGTGCTTGAGAATATTACTCAGAGCTTCGCAATGGATTGCATAGCGGCGTAGCATGTGCCCGGATAGCTCGCAGCGCATTCAATCCGAAAATGTCTGAGATCTTCTACCTGTTGAAGTGCCACTCCAGGCACATCCTCGCTGTGACAGAAGAGCACCTCCCAAGCTCGCCGTCTGCCAAAACCTCAGATTTTCCCAGTGACGAAATTTTAGGTTGAGGAAGGGGGGGAACCCTGCTGGTCGCATCTACTCGAGCGGGGCCGGTGAACCTGAGGGGAAAAGCAACGACTCGCCAACGCCGAAGTCCAAGACTAGCTCCAAGCAAGAGGCCTGGGCCTCGTCAGCTGCTGTGGCACGGCTGGGATTCCTAACAGCGGTACCTTCGCCCCCCGACTCCAGCATCAATCGTTGCGCACAAAACTCGAGCCGCGTCTGTGTCATCCCGTTTGTCGCCGTGATAACCTTGGCCTTTCTCAGGGAACTGCACTGACGCGGGCAAGCTCGGCTGTTTGGCTTGTTAGCTGGTGGTTCTGAGATTCGGGTCGAAATTGCTTACAGCCGGAGTTTGACGCATCTGCACAGATAATTCTTCGGGCTTGACAAGAGAAAGGTTCTTTGGCCATGTGAAGACCCAAGCTTGCACTCAAATAAGGAAGCTGCCATTCGAAGATCGCCATCGCCCAAACGGCGAGGCATCAAGCGACAGAAGCCACTTGGTTATCAGGCTTGCCGGACTCATTGCTGCTCGCTCTATGCGATATCGATGGGACGGACGGGAAGGGCATTTGCTTGCAGTTAATCAACAAAAACACGGAACGTGACTGAGGTCGGCTACTGACCTGACTGTCAGACTTCCTCCGATCCGCAAGGTCTGAGAAATGACGGATGACTGCTACTAATCGGTTTTTTCGTGCTTCATGTATGCCAACTTCGAGCAACTCCACCTTCTGCAAGCCTCCGGGCGACGTGCTGCCACGGCGCTAGTAATTCTTATGGAGCTTGACTCAGACCTTGTGTCGATAACGGCGTGTGCTTGCTCTGTCAGAATCTGAAAATGCGCAAGAAGTCCACAAAGCAATTCTCGAACCAGAGCATGGCATTCGGCCGGCATCCGACTGCGGAGTGCGAACACGACTACTTCAGAAGATTTCTCTCGGTTTAAGATTACAAGCAAGGACCATTTTCAGAAGCGGTCAGCCACGCCCGTGCACGATAGCCCGGTTGGTCGGGCAGCACAAAGACTGGCAGTCCGGCGGCCTGTAGCAGGGACCGTGCATCGTAGAGTCTGCCCTCGGAAGTGCTGCCACAAGCTAGAGTTGGTTTTGGTCTGCTAGTGCAACCACTGGTGCAACATGCTACGGGATTTAGATGCTTTCGACTCTTGGCTCCGGCTCCAGTCGTGGCATCCTGCCGTTGTAGTGAGATGCACATACACGGATTCCCCAGTTTCGCCGTGGCCACAGTTCGAGGCAGAGACTTATCGGGAGCTGCCAGGGAGACTCTCTCAGCAGATGTACGGGATCGGAGGCGTATGCCGGAAACTTTCATTTCTTATGGACTGTAGGTACCATTCTGCAGCCCCTGCATGCCCGAAAAAGCAAAACCGCGCACAGTTGGGTCAGAGCTGTTGTTCTCTCGACGTGCGGAAGTTGGACAGGATCAGGACCACCGACCTCGAATCATGTCAGTTCAGTCAGATGCTGCCCGCCAAGGAAGCGGCCCTCATGTCACATGGAGTGACAAGCACAACAGCTGCCGGAATCCTAGAGTGTGGCAGGAAACAGTCTGTGTCTTGCACTGCCCCCTGCAGGGACTGCAGACACACCCTTGCGCTTTGGTTGCCGGTGTAGTGGCAAGGTCTGAGACATGTCACATGTGGATCATGTGGCCGTGAAAGATTCGGCAAAGTTGGGTCACCCCCACCAGGTCCTTATCCGCGATGAGCTGTCAAAGGAGTTCCCCGGCCCGAGCCCGGTGCTCAGTGATTGTCTCGCATTGTGCCATGGCTGCTATGCACCTGGGACATGTTGAGACTACATGATTTCCTGTCGGCAGATATGCCGCACACTCTCATCTTCGACTTCCCCTCGCCACGCCCTTGGTCCTCCGCCGATCTGCATGCCATACTCTTGCATTGCGACTGATCTGAGGCCCAGCCACAGCCATAAGCATGCTAGCCAAGCTGGTTGCGACAGTGTCAACCAGAGCCATGACAAGTAACGAATTGCTCATCCAGCTGTGCAGTGGTCGATAAGTTACCGCTGGAAATATCCAACTTTGGGGGTCGTATTTCATCTCGACATGCCCCTCACTCGATATCCCGCCGGCTCCGCAGGGTCATGGATCTCACCGACTTCGTCCTGGAACGATCCGCCCGATGATCGTGCAACTGAAAAGTCTGAGCAGCAGACCTCACGTCATGTTCAGCAGCTTCCAAGCCGACGCTGTAAAGCCGGAGGCGCAAGTGCTGCCATGACCCCGATCCCAGCAGACTGATAGGCCATATGACCCCTGAGGGGCCCGAGGCTCAGTATCTTCCTTTCATCGCATCAAGTTGAGGAGCGCTTCAACAAAAAATCAGACCATGCCACCAGCTGGAGTATGCTCGCCGGCATTGCTGCTCTGAGATGATGAAGACCGTGCTGCCGCAGAGTCAGGTCACGCTAACTGCATTGCTACGGGCTCACAGGATTGATTGTAGGCTTCGGGAGATCAGTGTGCAGCTGCATCGCCTTGTCCATTGCCGGTGCCACAGTGAAAGCTGAGCAGAAGCCGAACGTGCGACTGCACCCGTGAAAGGCCTAGGTTGATGCCCCAATATCCATGTCGGAAGAGTCGTGGAGGCGGACAGGTAGCAGTTGGCCATCCCTTGCACACACACACACAGACTAACACACACACACACACATGCGCGGGGACGGTTTGCTGGTTCGAGCTGCAGCGTTGTGGGACCTCCTCTCCTGGGGATGCCGGCCCGGAGACGAGGCAGATTTCCTAAGTCCGTTGCGTTGCGACTCCAGGGAACTGGGAGATATGGATGTTAACTCAAAGTTGGGTTCGATTGTTTGCTACGTTGAATGAATTGAAACATATAATTCCGCTTCGTCCCATCTACGACTACAGCGGGCAGTTGTGAATAATTTCGCTCAGCGTCTCGTCGTTTATCATCGTTTTGTACGACATCGAGAGTGGAACAGCTTTCGTGCTGCCAGATGGACACCTTCGTCCGCGACACGCACCGCAGTCTTCACAAGACCAACCGAGGCAGGGTCGTCGATTCGCCAATGCGTGTAAAATTTGTTTCTAGCACCTGCTCAGGTTCCAGGACACTTCAGACCTGCTTCGGATTGTATTGCCTGTTCTCTCCACATCAGACAAGAAGCACGTGTCACTAAGTGCATGAACCAGCCAGCAAGGCTCCGGAACACTGCGACGAGATCGCTTGAGCGATGATATGATGCGCGGCTTTGCCCCACTTGCGGCCTTTCACCACTCACTTCCCATTTGACGGTTTAGATGTCGACGGACTGAAAATAGAGTAGTGTGCTCTATAGCGTAAAGGGAACTCGCTTACATCTCAACTTCAGGCCGTGGAATGTCAAGCGTGCCATCTTATATTGATTACGTTTACATGTTAAATGGAACGACTATTGTGCGGCAGCCGTAAATCAAGGGCGAACATTGATGGCCAGTGGCAGCTGTATGCTGTCTATGAGGACTGAGACTCTGCCTGCTCGACTGGCGCTGCTCTTTTTGAGGAAATCACGCACGTCGAGTTTGCCCTGCACGGGCAAGTGAAGCGCACTGGCTTAGGATGGTTTGAAGCGCCCCGTGCAGGAAGCCTAACGCTCGCGACACGCTCATTGAGAAGGAAAACCAGCTGCTGGTAAAGCGAATCATGACAGCAGCTCACCTGCAGCGAAGGGCTCATCAAGACTTCTGTCTTCCAGCCGCACGGGGAAGCATATACAAGTCTGGGAGTGTCATGAACAAGGGCCGACTTACCCTGGAGACCAAAGCAGACTGAAGTGCCCGCCGGACACAGCCGCCTGAGCAGATGCGAGGTGAAGTCTGTTTTCGACCCTAACGGGAAGGACTTGGAGGAGTTCCGCACCCACCAGCGCAGGGTTCAAGTGATGCAGGCGCAGCTGGGCTGGGCGACTCCAAGTCCGAAAGTCTTCCCACCACTGCACACAACTTGGAGTGTACGCCCTGCGCATACTGAGACAGGAGTTCAGAGGATCTGCATGTTCCTTGGCTGGAACATCAGAGCAGTCAGAACCTTTGTCGGGAGTCCCGCCGAGGTGCGCGGCCGCCACCGCCGCCGGTGCCTGAACCCAAGCCCTCCAAGCCACGGGTGGCTGCCAGCCGCTGCGGCCGCATTTCCAAGCATAGTAAACTTGGGATATCAGAGGATGCTTGAGGGTTTCCCTGTTCGATTGGAGGACAGGACTCAGCCAACCACTTTGGCTCTTTAGCCCAGGAGAAAGATTGTGTGCAGCCCGAGGCCTTTCCGACACGAACCTGCGGCACCTCAGTGCCTTACTGTGTCCTTGGGACCTTCCAGCGAAGCGCTCGACAGTCTGCCCGGCCAGTGTTTATCAAGTTCCAGCAAGTCGAAAGTGCCTTGCGTGACCCAATTATGATTTCCAGGTGCAGCCTGAGCCGCAAGCAGGCACAACGCGAGCAGATGTCTCACCAGAGGAGACTTGCTTTTGCGCTCAGGGGTGATCTCTTGAGCATGTTTCCCACATCATACGACAGCATCGACCTGCTCATGCGTTGTTGCAAGTGCAGGAGCCACAACCTAGGGCGCAGCCTGCCGAGCTCGCTGTGGCCACGAGCCCTCAGCATCTCAGCTGCGGTTCCGGTTTGGGATCTGATTCGCTTGCTGTGCAGCCAAGGCCCATGGGGACCATGGCCAGCGAGGCGGAGGCCACGGCCGTCTCGACGAGCTCGAGCGGCCCCAGCGGCCCAAGCGGCCCCAGTGGCCCGAGCCTAGAGAGCAGCGCGCCACCGCTTACGGACTCGGCCGCTCCCGTCCAGTCTACCTCCCTTTCCCCTCCCCTGCCGGCACAAGCACCCAACCAGGCCCAAACCCAACCCACGACCGCGAGTCCGAGTCCGTATGCACTCCCTTCCGGAAGCGCCTCCCAGGAGGCAGTGCTTGCGCACGAGGGCGCACCCGTGCAGGCCCAAGCTGAGAATGCCGACCACCTGGCAGGCTCGGCATGGCTCGGCTAAAGCTGTTAGTCAATGTTAGTGTAATTGAGCGTCTAGAGTCTGATGTTCAAATGCTCCGAGGAAAGGTATGGAAAGTTGCGAGAGCTGCTGCAGTTTTATGTGCCTGCAACATGTTCTCGATGCATCAACATGCCCGCGAATGATTCTTTGCCCAGGGCCTGCATCGATCACGGCCTCTCCTCCACAACCAGAGCTGCTTGGCAGTAAACTATGCCGCAGTTGCAGCAGGGCTTTGCAGCCGGACCTGGCTGGAAAGGTGCTTTGGGTGCCTCACTACATGGCCACCCCATGTCAGGACTGTGAGCAGCGACCGGCATGCAGATCCCTTTGGGGACTTGGACCTTTTCGGCAATCGCGGTACAGGCACAATTGATTTCACGACAACTTCTCAATTTCGTACGGAGTGTGACAAGCTGTCGTGAATTTCCGTGGTGGGGAAGCCAAGCTTTGCCAGGCACCGGTCCTGCAGCAGCTGCACCAGCCGCGAAAGAGTGGCTTGTGTGTTTTCGGATGTGACAGTCCGGAGTTCGGTCAGCCCTTTTCGCAGCTAGTGACGTGCTTTACGGAAGATCAACTTGTCTTTTTGAGTGAGCATGCTGAGTTTGATCAAGGCATGCATAGTTTGTCGCTGCAATATGTGTAGTAATGTAATTCGTGCTTCCATCGAAATCATGTCCAGCCTCGATGCAGCAAGCAGCTAGGCATCCCTACGCCCTTGCCAAGGACGGCTCAGAACCGCCCTGCCGACCCTTTCGGTGGTCTCGATCTTTTCGGCAATCGTGCAGGCCAGGCTTGAGCATTCAGGGTCACCTGACAGGGATTGTCAGACTGCCAGCTTTTTGTCGGAGTTTGATAGGGTTTGTCGTGACAGTGACATGTCGTGACTGGTGGCAGGCACAGATGCGAGAACTACAGAAGCGACGGCGTCACCTTCTGCTCAAGCAGAGCCAAGCTTGACGAATGCAATGCCCCGTGGCTCATTTGGGTTCCGCCGATGACGATCTCTATGCAACTCTCACGTGTGGTTTCGGCGACTCGGAACAAGTACCATTATGAAACAGCGGCTACAAGTAATGAGTTAGTACTAGGCGACAGCAAGACTTCAATGACGTGAAAACACTGTAACCGCTCCGAAGCATGATGGCACTGAGGACAGCCCAGCCTGACAGGCATGCCGATCCTTTCGGCGAGCTTGACATTTTCGGTAACAGCCCCTCGGCAGAGAATTCTGTGGTCAGTAGACCCTAGACTGAGGCGCGGAGCGAATCAGAGGGCTTTCAAAAGGCACAGCAACCCACTAGAGCCAACTAGTTACACTCCATTTCGTCTCACAGTTGAAATCCCTTGAACAGCCTGGGCAGCATGGGCAGCTTGAAGGTTTTATCCGTCCTCGAACCTTCAACACCTTTACAGAAAACTTGAACCAAAAAGCAACACCGGGCATATGTCAGCTAAACCAAACAGCCACAAAGCTTTCACAGCTGCCAGAGGTGACGCGAAGCCTGCTGAAGGCGGTCGCCCGAGACGACGCCGTGGTTGACAAAAGGCGCATGCATAGCTTAGGGCACATAGCTGCATGGTACGTGAACTGGCAAGATTTTCACTTGAGCCACGGGTAGCATGTGCACATGTTGTTCACTTGACCCACACGAAAACTCTTTGCCATCTGACCGCAGGTGAAGCAACCCCTGGTCATCTGACCCCTTCAGATTTGCTCGTTTCACGCGTTTCATGTGATATCCGATCGGCAGCCTCAGGCCTCAGGTTCGGTACTGTAGCACGTCGATTGAACAGGTTGCTCCATTGGTCCATGCGTTGCAAGTTGCATGCCCTCAAGCATTAAGCTCCAGCTGCGAGGGCGAAGCTTTATAATAGCCAATTGCAGGAGCAGACCAACCTTTGGACAGCATCATCGCATCTGCAGTTTTGCTGCGGGGGCTGCCAATCCATCCCTCCAGGTGTAGAATGTGCGATAGGAAGCTTCTTTTTGCTGCTCGGCACTCTGAGCGGAGAACCGATTGAGCACGGTGTTGCAAACAGCTGACTGGCAGCCACAGTGGGCCAACCGCAGCATTTTCGGTCTCGCAAAGCGATTCCATTCGTGAAGAAATCGTTTCAGGTAGCTTGGGCCAAGGAGGTTTGCATATCGGATCTTGAACATGTCAACATAGGCTAGAACACTTTGGGGAGTCCTCGGAATGGCCGGGGCCCGTGGATCACGTGGCCGTAGAAATTAGGATGGAGAGCTCATCTCCTCTTATGGCTGAGCCCCGAAAGGGGTCAAAGGCGCTGGCCGGCCGAGTTTCCAGGTCTGCCACAGGGAAACAGAGAGCGGTGAGGCGTGTTTCTGTCGAACCCCCTTTAAACAGAGACAGTATGAGGAGGTTGGGTTGTGCTGCAGTTGTGCTGCGATTTCACTGACCAGGTTACATTGGCTGTTTGTTTAGCATGATGGCACAATGGATGTGTAGAGCGACTCTACCGTCACTCTACCGTTCAACGTTTCGTAAGTGACTTGTAGGGATGGTTGCGCGGAGTTCGTGTGAGCGGAGATACAGTAGGAGCATGGGCCGTTACGATGTTGTCTAGCGTCTTTCTTTGGTTGGCATCGCTTGCCTTCCTATTGGACACAGATTGCTCCCGGATGCAGGGTGCGTGCACAAATGCTTGCATTCGCTCGCAGCAATGCGAAAGAATCCGACTGCATCTTGATCCAAGGCGTAATCATGACCATCTTGCCATCGATTATGAGCACGTCACATCTGGCACAAGGCTGCAGGGCCGGGGTTCACTTGCAGCCTTTCGCAATACATCCGTTTCCTCAACCACGCAAACGCTTACTTGCAGGCCATGTTTACCATACCTCGTCTATGCCACCTCGAAGCCGGACCTTGTCCCCGCCAGCTCCACAGCATGGTAGGGGCATTGTGACACCATCGACTTCTCTTGCCAAAACACCCATCTGTTCCGGCAGCATGCACCATGCGTCAGCACCTGATGCAGTGGGTATGGGGAACCTTGTGTCAACGCATATGCGCAGAGTCCACTTCTCCCTTCAAGCTTGGAATTTTGGCCGGCCTCGGACCTCAGAGTTTGCGGCACCAAGGAAAGGGCTTCCCAGACACCCTTCACTGGAGCTCTCGCTGCGAGCTGAGCCAAACCGCTGGTAATTAAAGGCTTACTGTAGGTAGACCAGCGAGAGAGAGTAGGTAGACCAGGAAGTTGTCATTGTAGACGAAGAAAGTTACGCTGTTGGTGGGGTGCCTGCTGAGTTAAACTTAATTGTTCATATTTGTTTCTGGTGCAGTGCAACAAACTGGGACCAAACTGCTCCGCAGGACGCGCTCACGAACAAGGCAGGCTGCCTGTCTTCGGCGAATGCACTTCTGCTTTTTGACAGTGGCAGCATGCCCATGTCACCAAGCTTCTACACCATCCTGCATCTTAGACATACATACGAGACACCGATCCTAACTCCATGAAGTGAGAACATGATCATGAACGTTTCATGGCACGTTGCATTCGTCGACGTGGCATCAGGACCGAGTGGCTGGAGGCGCATCACGCCAAGAGTTCAGGCCTTTGCAACACTTTTGAAAGGATTCCTGGCTTTTCAGTTTAAGCAACTATGGGTATGCGGTATGCACATATTTACGCGTTGCGCCAGGTTCGGGCAGCGCAAGCAGCCAACCCGGGACCTTTCCCAGAAATTGAGTGTCCCATCAAGGCGTCCCAAAAGTGCGCATCATGAGCATCAGAAGGGGGCTGCTTATCCTCCAAGACAGAAACGCGAAATCCCAGCAAGAATCTTCCGAGCCTCGAGCACCACAGATGCCCACACCCCGAGCAGTACGTGTTTTGAATGACAAAAACCGTCGAAAAAACGCATGCTGGGAACAACGAAAGCCTCGATATTTACAGCGTTTTTGCATCTTGCCAAAGTCAACAAAAAGGTGCAAATGACCCACAGCCAAGCGAGATCCGGTCATCCAAGCGCTCGGGCTGCGAAAAGGCAGGCAGCGCAGGTAGAAGCCTGGAGCAAGGCCACGCACCCCTTCCGCTCATGCTGATGATGCGAGCCCTTTGCGGGCTCACTCAAAAATTGGCAAGACATCGCCTCGCTTTGCAGGGCCGGTTGCGGGCGCCCCGAGTGCTCATGATGCTCGCCGGCTGGCCTCTTGGGTTCGTCCACGGGGGTTCCGAAACCCGCCATAGCCTGGGGAATGGCTGCGAAATGCGCGCGTGTTCCGAAAGGTCTGCGGGCGACGGCCCGGTGGAAGACGAGGGTCCGATGAAGCAGGGTCGGCGGCATAGGCGGTCGCACCTCGGCTAAAGCAAAGCCAGCAAGCTACACCGGGCCAGCGGGCGCTCGTGCGGGGTGTGAAGGGCTTGAGGGGTTGGGCTTGCCTGCGGCTCAAATATCTCAAATTGAATTACTGGGAATTAATGAAACTAGACTGTGGGCAGGGCTGTTGGGCGCTGTGGAGCATGCGGGGCGTGGGTGAGTGAGGGGTTGCGCTTGCCTTGGGATCAAGGAAACTGGGGCGGGGCGTGGCAGGCCTGAGGGGTTGGGCTTGCCTTGGGCACTAGAAATCAATGAATCTAGATGGTAGACGGGGCCGTTGGGCGTTCTGGGGTGAGCTCGAAAGAAACATACCGAAACCATCAGGAATCAAGGAAACTAGACTGTGGGCGGGGCCTATAATGTGGTTGTGCCTCCTAAACCTTGAGGGAGCTTGCATTGTAAGTGTGCACATAGCTTAAATGCATGGCTCATTTGCGACGCTGTTTCGGCTCGCGCACTATCTTGTGCCAATAAGCTCTATGCGTGGCTGCGCTCTTGATTTGTTTTGTGGAGAGTCGTGTTATGAAGCCGCTGCTGCGTGCAGTTCGGACATCATCTGGGGTGGGTAAGTGGAAGAGGAGTGCGAGGATATCATGAGAAGGATCGGCTTCTGACAACGCGTGGTCAATACGATTGGAGGCCTCGACTAGGCAAGGGACTTTACGACGTTACGACACATGCAAACACAGCTTCAGGGGCGCCGCGCCGCCCCCAGAGAAAGGGGGTCGGCGGAGAGAGAGAGAGAGAGAGAGAGATATTAATTATATATATATATACAAATATATACAAATAAATAAATATATATATATATTGCGAACGGACCTCGATGCCTCGTCCAATTCACGTGGGGCATCACGATAAGAGCTATGAGCAAAATATCACAGGGCTGCATCACAAACTGTTGATACTAACATTCCTGCTGTGCAAAATCTACAATCCCCTGTCAAGTGCTCCGCCTCAAACGCAATTTTGCACCTCAAAAAACTACCATGAGCCAAGAGCTTACGACGCAGGTTGTAGGCATCGGGTCCAAGCGTTCAAGCTATTCTCGCCGCACAGACCATCGCTGAGCCTCGATTTCGCCAAGAGAAAGAAAGACTTTGTCCGAGTGCCTGCCAGGGATTTAGCGAGAGTGTGAAACCCACGACTGTTACCTCGACTATAAGGCAGCCACATCTATTTCAACTAGCTCGGTGAGGTGAGCGACCAAGAGAACATCGATTACAAACCCTCATGCGGTGATCAGCCGTAGGCTTCGCCTACAAGGAAATTGGTCAATGGTTGACATCACTCAGAATGACTTCTGGATCAACTGCAGATACGACAATGACCTTTGGAGTTGGCGAGATTACGTTGCCAGCAGCAGGGGAATCCACTGCTGAGGACCCAGTGGCAGGGTCCGTTGACAGTACCACCACTGAAGAGGACAAAGCTAAGACTTCCTCATCTATGCCGCGTAAACCACCGAGAAAGGCAAAATCATTGCCAAGGACAATGACTACCTCACGTCCGTGTTCGGCTAGTCCAGGAATGAGAACTACCGAAAGGCGACCGTCCAAATCGGTGATGCAATGTCTGCAAGCATCGCTTAAGTCAAAAGACAGAAAACCAAGGAGTCCGGAACAGATGAAGCCAGGTTCTTCAAGAAGATCGACGAAATCCGGAAATGCACAGGGCAAAAAAGCGCGTTCAACGATGCCTTTGGCGAGGTCGCACTCAACGCTTGATGCGGGTGTGCATAGTCCGTCCATGAGCCCAAATGTGCAATCCGATGACCCAATGCTCCAAATTGACGAGTGACGTGCATACAGCACCAATAGGCAAAGAAAGCTCGGCAGAACCTGCCAATGTCAAGCCCGGTTTGACGCAAGGATGCGGAAGGGATTCCCATGTGCATCGAACTGCCATCTTGTAAGAATCGAAACAAACTTCATTGCTTCACCGAGCCGGGAGGAGCAGTCAAAGTGATGAAATAATGTATCGCCAACCCAGTAACCAAAGCCGAGGAAGTCATTAGTGCTGGCTGTCCCTAGCCTTCAGCTCCCACCACTAGGCGGCTACTTTCAAGAGGAGACCCAGGGGCCACGGTGAGGCTCTCGAACCTCAACAGGTGAAGACTGTCAGCAGTAATTAAAGAATATACGGCTGCAAAGATCGCTAGTTTTCCAAGATTAAACGACTTGAATAGATCTGCTTGCAGGCGAGATCCGGAACATTCACGTGCCCGGCTCTCGGAAATGCTATCTTATCGTGTTCGTACAGGAACTATGGGGACTTGTCCGACAGGCCCTGATGTATCCCAAATCGCAGCAGGTAGCTGGAACAAAATCACTGTTTGGAAGAACCCGGTAGACCGCATGTTACCGAGCACTCACGGAGTTCAGATCATAGGCTCGGGATCATCAACGGCAACCTGGTCGTCAGCTTCCAGGGCTCAGGCACATTGCCTTGCAGAATTTCCTGTCGAGTATAACTGTTGCGCAGAAGTCTCGCTTCCTTGCGGATGCTTGCATGGGCCTCACTCTTAAGGTCGCGTTCGCGTCTTCGTCAACAACGAGCATAGCACTGAACTTGGCGGCGCAGTTCTAGAGCGCAAGCCCGGTTACGTGGCGCGCCCCCGACCCTCAGACCTGTTCAGGTCTCGAGCTTCCGGAGACCAACAGACTTGGCTCCACCTCCCCTTTCGGCGGGGGCACAGGCCATTCGGAGTGTCAGTTGCACCAGCATCCCATTCTGCAGGCGTCGACTGGACCAAGAAGTACAGTCTGGAACCCGGATGCCCCATCTCGCGTATGCGCAGCCATGGGTGGGGATGTTCGTTGTCGTATCAAGCCGATGAGTTGCATGAAATGGCAGCACGGGTTGCTTCCAGGCTTCAGAAACAAGCATCTTGTCAACTTGCAACCCCTGCCCAACCCACGGGCGCCTCTCATCACTTTGGCGCTCGTGTGTCGTCGGCAAGTTTTGCAATAAGACCCTAGGCAAATACGTCATCAACAGCCGCGGCTTGCGCTTTGCGGAGTTTGTCTTGAAGGCGTTGCCCGCCCAGGCAAGGCGAAATGCATGTTGTTCAGGCCAGATCAGGCCATTTTTGTTCCCGTGCGGTGTAGTCTTGTAAAGCAATGCATTAGCAGATGTAAACCTCTGTCAGCACAATTTTCGTCCTAGCCAGCCCGACTGTCACAGGTCCTCCAACTAAATATTGGAACTCGGGTACCAGCACCGTAAGATGTTGGGTCAGATCCTGGTGGTTGGAGAGACGGCATCCTCCGACGAGAAGCTCATACCGGCAGCCAAGCCCATCATGGAGGTGGGTGTCAGCTGAAGTGTTTGCTGATCCCTAGAAGGATTATGAGAAGTTTCTCCGCAGGCATGGCATCGAGTATGACAGTGTAGACTTGCCTAACACGGCGGAAGCAATGCCATGCCGATTGTGTTCTTGCAGACCAGCAGTGTGCAGACATTTGTTCATCAAGCCGTCGTCTGCTCTTCAGTTTGTCAGCACGCATGACAAAAGTCGGGATTTGCCAGGATGAGGGTTCCCTTTGACGTATCTGTTTATCAAAGCAGCAGGTGATGACAACCAAGGTCCGTTGAAAGGACCCGTGACTTTTTTCGGTAAATTTGACAGGTGCCCGTGTTGCAAAAGTAGATCCGGCCGGTACTTGCAGAATTACACACAAAGGAAATTGGCTGCTGCCAGCAGCACAGAAGCTTTCCAACACAAAGAGAAGCCTCGAGTGCCATGTTGGATGCTTCCTCCTTTGGGGTAGTTTGCGTCAAAATACGCACGGCAAATGCCGCTTGACTGACTTACTAGCTGCATAGACTGGAAGCATGATTCAACGGGAATGTAGGGCTCCACCGAGCCGCAAGCGGATTGACAGAGCTAAGGATATGAAGCTGGTCATGGATGCTCTCACACCCGACCCTCAGCTGACTGCTACTCCAAAGCTCATTCCTGTCCCGGCTTTCGAGCTTCTCTCTCTATCCTGAAGCAGGGCTCTTCATGGCTCTTCATAGGAGGGCCCAGTGACTCATGTGATTGCCTTTCACTTCGTCTATTACAGAGGGTCGACCTCACCAAGGAGCTGATGTTGACCCAGGATTTGATCATCAATGACAAGGTGGGTGCATGCGCACTCTTGTTACAGGGCTGTTTCAAGCGATTGCGCTCTGCTCGGCCACATCGGTCAGGTCCTGGACGAAGGTAAGCAACTCGGGCTCCTGGGCAAGGAGCTGTGGTTCCGGCAGATTTCGGCCAGAAGCCTGCAAGCTATTTCTTCTGTAGTCTCTCTTTGTCTGTCACGACTAGGCGCTGAAGGTCGACGGGTATGCAATCCTTGCTTCTATCGGTTGACAGTTGGGGCTGGCGTTGCTTGCATAGGATGGCGTACTGCCTCGGACCTTCCCCCTGACGTAAAGTCTCTCTCCGACGAACGAGTTCCCTGCGGTGCGACATAGTCAGCTGGGCGGGTGGGAAAAAAATTCTTCTGTACAGGAAATGGTTGAGTCACGCTTGCTCCCTGGCCGCAAGCTCCAAAGTCCAATGTAGCTGAGTCGCTGCGAGTCGCTGGGAGCTAAGGCAGCTTGAGCAGCTGATCTCGGAAGGCTACACGCTGGACGAGCGGGGTCGGCCCCGGACGCGGGCGACTTCAGTGTTTTCGCACCTCCCCTCCGTTTGTGCCAAGGTATGAACCGGTGATCGACCTATCCTTCCTAAACATGTCTTCGATGAAGGAGCCATGGCTGCATGTTCAGCTTTGCGCTTGGTAAGCCAGATCATGCTAAGCCAAGCAAGACAATCGGTGGCTACACGGCGAAGAGATCCGAGCATGGGCAAGCACTGGATGAGTCGCTATTTACTTACACTCCCGAAGATAGCCTTCCATGCTGGGGCCAAGGATAGCTGCAGCCAGATTCGGACGCAGATGCAGAAGCAGGAAGAAGACAAGAGGAAGCAGGACCTAGAAGCAACGAACTCGGATTCAGTCCACAACCTACTAGATGCAGAGCACACCTGCTCCGTTTGGATGAAGTGGCCGTGGTTGGTTGGAAGTAGGGTTGACAAAGACGTTTAATACTTGGGTGCACTTGGTCTCATCTAATGTGGCCTTCTCTGTTTCTTATTTTAAAGAAACTGCAGGTACCAGCTAGAATGAGGTTGGAAAACGCGTTCCACCCCAGGCAGTCCATGAACATGTCAGGGATTCAACAGCAACATGTCGGCTAGGATACACACATACCGAAAATCAAATCGGATTCGCAGCGATGCTGCGAAGCGCGCCTTGCCGGATCCTGTCCACAGGTCCTGACCGGTTACTTGTGCAGGCTCGGTGGGCTCGGAGCCTTCCTGGCACTGAGCTCAGAGCACAGTGCGGCGAGCGCCCTTCCCTGCAGGAGCAGGCCAAGCTCCAAGCCGAACTCGATGAAGAGGCACGCCACACAACCCAGGTGAAACTGTAGCAGTTTAAGAAGGAAGCTCGCAGGTGTCAAGTGTGGAGGTCACCAGTTGTTGTCTAGCCGAGGACACGCGAGAAGACCAGCAACTGCTACAGGAAGCCGGAGATTTGTCTTACAAGGTTCCAACGAAGCTCGGACACAAGAGATCGTGTTCTTAATGAGCAAACCATCTGCCAGCGCGTGAAGGCAAGGTTACAACAGTAAATGCAGAATGGCTGACTTTTCAGCAGAGAAACTCCCCGACTATCCCCGACTACTGACTGCAGCTGCTGCCAGCAGCCAGGCGAGAATGGGATAGCCAATTTGCGCAGGACACCGGCATCGCTGTCAAAGCAAAGCCCGCATGGAACACGACATGTCCATCGCGGTTGCAACATCCTAGACAGCCTATACATCTTCAGGATCGTGCTTTGCTGGCATATCCTGGCACCTCGATGCTCGAGTCTTCCGCAGGACAACAGCCCGCAGAAGGTTGCTGACCGTGGCCTTTGCAAGCTCGAGGCCAAGGTCACTGAGCAGCGAGCCTTTGCAGAATTTCACAGACATGCGTGAGCCATCGAGCTGATAGCAGACCAGCCAGCTTTTTCAGCCGTGCCCGGCAGAGCGCCGCAGGGACGCTCTCGTGAAAAAACGGCATTGCTTAGCACGACCAGGAATCACCAGATACATGACTGCCGAGCCAGATGACAAAGGAGTCGTGAAGGCCGGCAGACGTCCTTCTGACCTCAAGAGCTCGTGAGTGGCGAAGGACAGGTGTGCGCTACTTGCACAAGCAGCTGTCCTGCAGAAACACCTGGAGTAGGTGTACATCGACGATCCGGATGTTGCCAATGCGAGCAAGGAGAGCATTCACGTGTCGAGACTCGGCTCCCAAGCGCTTTTTGTGCACTAACCTGGAGCTCATGATAGCTCATGCATGTACCAGCAAGTGTTGAAGCACGTATTTGCATCAAGCCATGAAGAAGGATGCCGCGATGTGAAGGCTAGCTAGATCGTTGCACCACGTTGCAGCTTCGAAGCAAGTCAGAGCCGACAGCTGCCAGGTTCACCATGAGCACATACACAGTGCGGGTCGGTACATCGCAGCTCGGAAAGTCAAGCATCTCCAGAAGCCACCTTGACGACAGCTGAAACTTCCTGGGAGCCCCGAGTCCGACTCTGACGGGCCTGACGGGCTCATACTTTCGGCCGGGGGATGCTTGTTGTCTGCATTTGTAGCACAAGTTGCGCCATCTCTCAGATGGATGAAAGCGGTTTGTCAAAGGTTATAGATTCGGGTTTACCGCAGCGCATCCATTGAAGTTTTGGGGCATGCTCGCTGAAGCAAAGGCCCTGCTTGGTCCTGGGCCCTGTGGATTGTGGTGTCATTGACCAGGAGGCACACCGTTCACTAAGCAGTGTTATCATGGGGCACTCAAGTCTCACTTGGAGGGAAGCTGAGAATTGGTGCTGTAAGCGTCCGGCGAACAGAAGCCCTCAGTTACAAGGTGTGGGTGAGAAAAAGAACATGGCCATGAGGCCTATCCTCGGCCCTCTTTGAACATGTGAACACAATGCGCAACAGTTTAACCATAGAGGAAGTTTGCACAGCCAAGTGGGCCATGCGAGAGGGCGAAAACAACACCCGTTCAGATGCATTTGGAGATGCAAGCCCCCTGCCAGTCCAAGCAAAATTGTTGTGTTGTTGAAGAAGCCATAAGAAGCCGAAAGAAGCTTGCTTTCCCAGGATGCATGCCGAGTCGTTGCTTTGGATTTTGTTGTTCACCGAAGTGCTGGGATGCTATCCGAGAGTGCCGTTGGATCCCGCAAAAGGTTCGGACCTCGAGCCATAAGTCGTGGAACGCCAGGCTTCCTCCTGGCGACTCTCGAAGTTCCTAGCAATGCATTGAGACCCGTGGTAGTACTAGTTGTAGTAGTAATACAGGTAAGGGTACTGGTAGTGGTAGTAGTTTCGGAAGTAGCACTAGAAGAGCAAGAGCAATTAGCAGTGTAGTAGCAGTGAGAGAGAGTAACAGTACCAAACATGCTCGGTGTTGATGGTGGCATTCTGTTTAGGTTACGGGTGGGGGATAGGGGGAGGGTTGGGCGGGTATAAGACCGTCCGCTCATGTGGCAAACATGACGCACACTTCGGCTGTTAACAGCATTTCGTCAGTTCTAATCTTGAGTAAGAAATGCAGTCGCAAGAGTCCATTCCTGTTGCATTTATATGGTGGTGTCACAGGTTTGTCCTCTGTCATATAGCTTACAGATGATTGAACTTCTTGGCAACCAGACATCGTGAGCGTCCTTTCCAACTGCAAAAATGAGATTTGAGTTTAAGCAGTTTATATGTGAGCTACTTGCAGGTACAATTCCATGAGGGTACTACCTCTACTACTACTGCTACTGCCACTGCTACTGCTACTGCTACTGCTGCTGCTGCTGCTGCGACTACTACTACTACTACTACTACT